GTGTCAGTCCACTGTGAAACAAGAACGGTCTGACAGACAGGATGCTTTGTAGGATAACACCTCTGGAAAAGACACCAGATCACACCACCTATATCCTACACAAGGAACCTCAATACTGAGGACCCCTCCCCCATGTTAACAAGGTGATCTTGCAAATTAAGCCTGCCCACCCCCTTTTACCCTGTGCCTAGTCAACCTGTCTCCATGAGGAATGTCCCAGAACAGAGTTGATAAACAAAAGAAGGAAAGATGATGCAGTAAACTGGCAAAGAAGGAGCAGTTAACCAGAATGTGCAGAGCAAAGTTCATGTGCAGTTTTCAAAGGGATGCATCTTAAAAGCCCTTTGGGTTTACAGATTTAAAAAGAACTTTGGTTATGAGCCTTAACTGCTTGCTTTCATCTTACCACTCATTTAATTTAATCCTTGCTTTGGTTAGAAATTAATGAATCAGTCAGATAATTATTAGACTTTAATGTGTTATTAATGCAGTTTAGTAAGCTTCAAAGTCTGCTCCTGTGTGCTCTGCTTCAAGGTTAGAAGATAATGTTGATTCTGAGAAGGGTACCTTGACACCAGTTATTTTTGTATTAATCTTGTGTAAGAATTATGTCTGAAAGAATGTTTTAGCTACACATCACACATACAACATACACACACACGGAATTCTTTATTTTGTTATGACTTGTGCTCGATGCATGGGGAGCATAAGATATGAGACAGAGACGTTGGACTGTCTCCAACTCCTGATATTTTTACATCTGTCTGTGTAAGGAGTTAGCCTAAAACCTTATAAATGTATTAGGCTCTGTGTTTCCGGGGTCTCCTTTCTTCCAGCAGTAGTCTGGAGCAGGAGCCACCCGGGTTTGTGTTTCTGTAACTTTTTATTGTGACTTTCAAAATAAACCAGCACTAAAATGAAGCAAGTCGGACTCCGTCTTCATTCAGATCTGTCCAGTAAAAGAACTGGGGTATAACACTTTGAATGAAGCCCTCCAACATCAGTTCTTTAAATTGTAAATCTTCTCTGGTAGATATACTGTACAGTGTAATGAGGACTTCCAGCTTCCCTTGAGCCAGTAAAAAAAAAAAAAAGAAAAGGACTTTCTGACTTTTTAAGTTTTTTTTTTCATTCTAAAAGCAATTTGTTGTCTTACAGGGCTGTAATAACACTGACTTTCATGGGTGTGGCACAAACACGTTTGGCATTTTGGACTGTAGACATGAGACACAGCACTCCAGAATACAGAATGTTGACCATTTCAACCTTGCAAGTATATTTTACTGCCCATACTTCATTTTATTGTGATAGAGGCCTTTGTGAGATCATGTCCAAAACTCATCTTTAGTAATGAGAGCAAGTCTGATCCTTCTGTATCTGCTATGTTTTGGAGTTAAAGCAAGTAACTCTGATCCGGGGCCGAACCTTATTAGGCACTATTTGGAATACACAGACTCCTAAACAACACAGATGGAAAGCATTAGTCTTGCTGGCAGGAGCCTCCGCTTCCCTGTTGTACTGTGAATTAAAATGTAACAGTGTGGGCTACTTTACTGGGGAACTTAATTACTCTGTGTCCAATGAATCATTGCCAAAACCCTACAAGTACAAGTAGATTTGCTGCCTGAGCATTAACTTTTTAATAAAGGATCACATTCAGATTACTGTTGATGGCTGTAGAAAGGAACTGTAATCACCGTGGGCGGACAAATTCATAATGATAAAAAGAATATATATTTAACAGCTGACAGCCAGGCTGCTTTCTTTTTGGCCCCACAGCGGAGACACAGCTAGTCATTTTTCTGGAGCCATCTTGGATGATTGCCAGGTTACCCTTGTGCTAATACCATTTAATAAAAAGAGTTGCACCCTTGCACATTTTCCTGGGTGTTGGCAGGGAGACTGCCTTAGGAATGCAAGTTAAAAGATTAAAACTAGGAAGCGCATCCAGCCAACATTTCTGCAAACTCAAAACCCCTAATGTGATTGCAGTTTAGCATTTTGCATCTATCAGGTTCATATGCAGTTAAAACACTTTTAATACAGTGAGAAAGGTAATATGGTGAATACTACACACATTATCTCCAAGTTTAGGAAACAAAATCACAGCGGTCAGAGACTGAGTTATGAAGTGCAAGCCAT